ATCCCCTGAGGCCTCGGGGAGCCAGCCTGCAGAGCCCGGATCTCAGAGTCTCGGATCCAGACCTGGGACACGACCCATTTCTGTAGCTGAGGCGCCAGCGCCCCAGTGCACGTGTCTGACCTGCACTCGCCCCGTCCACTCGCCCCGGCACCTGCCCGCAGGCCGTCAGGGTGGCATTCCTGGGCCACAGCAGCCCCTGCTGCCTCTCAGCCCCAGGCTCTCCTCCTGCCCACTCCCTGGGCAGGCCACAGCGAGGACAAAGGACCGCGTTCCTCAGGCTCCACGCTGGCCCCGGCCTCCCATGGGAAGATTCCTCCGGGAGCGGCCTATGCTCCGTCCTGGCCTCCAGGCTTCCCCGAGAGCCCAGGCCACGCCCCTACGGCTTAGAGGAGGCAGGGGATTGGGTGGCGGGGGCAGAACCAAGTCTCTCTGTTCACAGAAGTCGGCTTACGTGGTAAAGAGACTCAGTACCTCTTGTCGAGGACTGCTGAGACCCCTCGGAGCCTGAGGGAGCGTTTCTTAGCTTCCCTGCCTATGCGGCCTCTGTGCTTTGAGCACCCATGTGCCTTCCCGCTCAGCCTTCCTGGCAGAGGCTGTTGGGCCGCACGGACCGCAGCTCTGAGCACTCACCCCCATATCCCTGCACGAAGCAGGGGTCCTAACGCGTTCTTGGCTCTCAGCTACTTGGTGGATGGATGGATGCATGGATATTGCGTCCTCTCCTCTCATCATTTCCAATTTATGGAGCACTATCACCCCGCCGCCTAGTTCCTGAAGGCCCGTGGCCTCCCTGCTGGAAGAACAGAACAAACTCTTCATCCCGAACGTCTTGGCTAGGTTTCCCTCTTCCCTGCCCCAAGCTAGACATCAGCTAACTCGACTGCTTGTCTTTACAGCTAAAAAGAATATTTATATCTTCACCAATCAGCCTTCTTTTAGTCTTACCGCTAAAAGAGTGGAGGCTCTTCCTTCTAAAATGCCAGCTCACATCTTTGTGCCTTTGAATTTTCTCTAACACCCGTGTGCATATGTGCAATCTTCCCGCCAGATTACACACCTCCAAGCGGAATCAATGTGCCACGTGTCCTCCGCAGAACATTGCCAAGCATGTTATCAATAAATATTTGCTGAGAAAAGGAATCCTCTCTACTGTCTGCAGGGAAAACAAACCCACTAACTGTTCATCATCCCACTTCTCCCTGTCCTCCCCCTTAGTTCTAACCCCTCTACGCCCCAGGGCACCCTACCCTTTAAAACCACCCTGCAAAGGAAAGGATTCCGTGTTTTCTGACACTCTCAGATGAGGGCTCAGTATTTTCCTTGCTGCCTTAATGAATATGACAGGGCTGCAGAGTCTCTGTGACCCACTCATCCCTTAGGCCTGGCAATTACGTTCCTGTCCCTGTGACCCTTTTCCTCCCTGAAAGGCACCCGAGTGGAGAAGTCAGTGGTGTCTCTGAGACTCGCCCGTGGCCACGCTGGGCCCAAGGACGCCGACAGTCCCCACCTTGGCGCTTGAAGTGATTCCCAGGCCTGGCCTCTCTCTCTCTTTATTCAACATATATTTATGGAGACTTACGACGCGCTAGGCAGTGAGGATGGAATTCTGAGCAAAACGACACCGTAGTCCTGCCCCTGGGGGTCACAGTGTGACCCCTGGGAGAGACAATGAACCCTTCGCGATCAGGTAATTCCCCCCCGGAAGGCGCTGTGAGGCGCAGTGCTTGGCCCCCCACAGCGCCGCGCTCGGCCCCGGCCCCCGCCCCGGCCCCGGCCCCCGGGCCCCCTCTGACCCCCAGCGCCGGCAGCGCCCGCGGCTCCCTCCGCTCCTCCACAGGGCCCACCCCTGCCCGTCTCCTCCACTCCCAGGGCCTCACCGGAACCTGCTGACACAGGAGCCCCAGAACCAACCCCTGGGGTCGCGTCGTCGACCACTCCGCACACCTCGCCCCAGACTCACATGCCCCAAACTCCACAGGCCTAAACGAACCGCCGCAATCCCGAGAGTTACCCGCAAACCGGGTCTTCTTCCAGAATTCTCCACTTACATCGCTCATAGGGCCATCCCCCAGTCTCAGGTGACAACGGTCTTCCCCCGGGGTCCCAGATATGGCCATGGGGCTGTTACTAAAAGCCCCAATACCTTCCGTCTACCCCTCTTCTGCATTCGAGGTTCCGGGACCCCACTTACTTTTTGAATCCACTCTCCCAACACTTCCGCGGCAGGCGGTGCTCCCTCTGTCACTGACTGTCCTCGGAGCGCTGCAGACGTCCAGGGTGCCCTCCCCTGCCCTCGGACACACTCCCTAGCACCCCCTTTTGTGTCAGAGAAGACCCCACGCAGTCACTGCAACTGGGGGCGAGGCCTTGTAGCAAACTGGATGCGATGCTTGTGAAACAACGTTATACAACGAGACTATTGTTCCCAGTCTTTATAATCATCCATATAAAACTGCACAAGGGAGTGATGGAATTGTGGGCGAATTTTTTCATTTTCCTAGATTCTAAATTTCATTTAATGTGTTTTTTTTAATTTATACATTTTTATTTTAGAACACTTTTAGATTTACAGAAAATTTGACAGGAGGGTATAGAGAGTTCCAGTCTACCCTCCGCCCAGTTTGCCTTATTAACATCCTGTACTTTTGTCATAACTAAATAAGCCAAGAATTTACTGTGGTTTTGAAAACTTAAAAAAAATAATAACAACATTAGTTTGGTAGAACTAAATCAACAACATTAACTGGGGAAATGTCATTCTTCCATTACCACTAACTACAACTTAGCATCCAAATACTTACCATTTTTCTTATAACTTTAGTCTCTTCTTGGTGTAGATTCTTGGCTACAAACTGGAACAAAGTTTGTTTTACTATCGCTAGCCATATATTTGTGCATCTGGTTAAGTAGTAAAAACTTTATTGATTAAAGTTCTAGGGAATGTTTTTTAACATAAAGATGTGAATTTTTAAACACATGAATCGGGAGTGTGGGCACTGCTTCTCAACAAGCCTGTGGGCGCTGCCGAGGCCCCGTCTCCTCCCCCGCAGGGAGCCCCGCCCGGCTGGGCTCAGAGCTCCGCAGACTCCAGCTGCCGCAGCCAGGGCAGCTGGGTGCCCTGGTAGATGGGGTGTCGATTTTAAATTACTAAAAGGGGAGAGCTCTTTATGAAGCCTCGCCGGAGACGTCAGACTTCAGTTTCTGACCTCCAAAACACCAGAGTCCTCCCTTTGCCTCATTCAAACAAAGCAGCTAAAAGTCGGTGGAGGAAGGTTTTAGTTGTTAAGTTATAAAAATCACTGATATAGCAAATATTCAATATCCTAAAGAACATGTTTTCAGCTTGCTTTTAATGTCTGAGCTATAGAAAATGGAGTGTGGGTGTTTTTTTTGGGGGGGGGGGTGCATGTGTGTGTGTTTAACGTTTCGCCCCTGGTGTGTTTTCTTTGTTCTGACTGCCAAGTTGGTTTCAAAGGCTCTTTCTGGATATCCAGCAGTTAGAACAAATCCTATAGATTATACAAAGAAATAACCAACTGAAGAGGCCAGGTACAGGCCTACATTTTTGTCAGAGTATAAGACACTCTATTTTAAAATAAAACTGGGGGGGAAACCCTCAAACAGATTATCCCTCCCTAATTTTTTAGTTGATAAATATATTTTCATCTGTTAGGATAGTGCTTACTTCACATAAAAAAGAACTATAACACAAAAATTAGGAAAAACACTTAAGAGCATCCTGACGTATATTCTGTACCTAACCTTAAATGGTTTTGGAAAATCCCTAAAAGCAAACTAAACAATGCAGCATTCTTGTATCTTCAAGGGAGCCTATACCTTGTCATAAAAAAAATGTAAAGAACAAAACTTTGTTAAATAAATTAAAAATTGTAAGCAAGGAAAAATGTATATATTAGGTTTACTAAAATATTTTACATCAGTTCGTGCCAAAGTCAATCATTAGATTGTAATGCCAAGGAAAATGCTGAGTCTCAAAATTAGCAAATAAGAGGAAGACAATCACAGGGCGCAACTGAAGACCCCCAAATCAAAGTTAAAATAGCAGCACTGACAACTTCCAGGAGAGCTGTGTTTATCATTAGAATTGCTTGTGTTATCAACTATATCGACTAACTTTGCTTTATTACAAAAGTGATTTGGCTATCCAAGAATATCATTATTAATGACTTATGACAGACTGATGTTCTACAAGTCAGACTAAACAGAACTTCAAATTTGTCTTATTAAAAATTAACTTGTATTAAGGAAGGAGCAGGACTGATCTTGAGGTGAGACGTGCCTTTTGAGACCCTTTGCTGCCAAATTAAGTAGATGTGAGGTTTGGGGCAATTTTGCTAATGAGCTCTGGGTGAGCGAAAGAGATGCACTGGACAGTCCAAGAAGTAACTGAAGCACAGAGCGACCCAGAGACGGTGCTGGAAGAACGCACCTCAAAACATGAACAGTGGAATGACAGGCCATTTCAAATTCTTTTGTATATTTTTGTCCTATCTAAAATTAAAATAACAACCATTCTTTTATAGCCAGAAAACAGTAAGTACATTTGCTTTTTGGAAAAAAGGCAATAAAAATAATATGTTAAATTGTGACTTCTGCTATCTGAAAAGAATGAAAGTCTTGTCAAACATTACAAAAATGTTATTAGACTACGCAGTTTCGTTTCAGCTTAATAAAAAGTTCCCATGCACCCTACTTAAGAAAGAAAGCAACCCTCCTTTCTAATGCACTGACAAGGATTGTTTTGGCCTACAGATGAGCATTTATTTCACTGAGCAGATCCAAGCTACCACAGTGACTGCAGGGACCATAGGTTCTATGGATCTGCTACAATACTGGGATGCTCGGAGGTCATTTCCAGACCTATTTTATTACCTAAAAATCCCACTCGTTATTTTTAAAGCTCTAGAAGATAATTCCTTAAAAATTCCAGTTAGGTTATATGTGCCTGAGGGTAAAAATAGAATTGAAATTATTCTTACCTGAGGTTGCACGCCAGGATTGGTTGGGCAGTCCAAAGGAACTGAATCACACTCTTCAACTAGGAAAAAAAGAGACACGAAGCTTTGTAAAGAGAACACAGTGCCCAGGCGGTGAGGCCTAAGATGCCATGTGATGTGTGGCCTTGACACCTGGTAAGGTCAGGGGGCCCAGGTCGTACCTGCCCCACAGAGGCCCCTCGCCAAATAGCGCTCCTCACCAAGGGGACCGGCACAGTCCCTGCTTACCCCTGCGTGGTGGCTCCCACTTCTGGCCAGGCCACAGAGTCCTTCCGACACTATGTCCCATCCTCCCTTAGGAAGCAGGGCCCGTCTACCCCAGCACCTGGCTGCTCACTCTGTGTCCCCGTAGAGCCCTGTGCGGCATTCAGTGTCCTTCCCCAGGCTGTGAGCACATGTGACTTATCAACCTCTGTTGATGCCACCTATCCAGTGTCAGGTGTCCTGTGCCGGGCCACCTCCATGACCCCAGAGCAGGGTCCCCTCCTCACAAAGGCACTCGAAACACGTTCCCCTCTGACGGCCATCATGGCAAATGCACTGTGTCATTCCTCTGTCTGACGTTTTACTAAGCCCTTCGCAGAGCAGACAGGGGTTCTGCTTGCCTTGCTAGCTCACCTCCCAAAAGCCACGCCCAGCCGTTCCAGTTCTCTTGTGAATGTGGGGGTTGCCAGGAGGTCAAAGGAGCAAGATGCACATGTGAAATATCTCACACCTTTCAAAGTCCACAGTTACAGAAGAACTTCTGCCCTCAGGTTGTCCTACATGTGTTAGCTTCACGGGTCCCCAACATGTGGTGACAGTTGTACAGATGTGTTATAAAACAATTTCACTCCATCAGATTTTTATCTTTAACCTCAGAATTCTACATCACACTCTAAACTTGAAAGTTGACAGAAATACAGCATGTTATAAAAGAAATGTTTGGTGTCATGTACATTTTTAGAGTTATAAAGCCTTAAACAGAGAATCATTTAACTCAGGGTTCAAAAGTGAAGACTGAATGACAGATTGATTCATCTGTTTATTTTTTACCTTCGCTAACATTCATTCACCTATTGTGTGCTGGGCTGGCTGCCAGGTTTGTTCAAATAAGGGGCTATACTCACTCCCTCCTGCACAATTTAAATGAAACGTGGTCTTTTACTGAGAGCCTATGCGATACGTTTTCAGCTAGAGCAGCAGGATCCTGCCTCAGCCTGCGTTGCTCAAGACCCAGTCCCCAGGCCTGTGCACCTGAGGCACCTGGGCTGCTTATTAACCATGCAGATTCCTGGGCTCCCCCCGCCCCAGGCCTCCGCTGGCACCTCAGAGACCTCTGAAATCTGACATCTAACAAGCACTCCATGGATTCCGGATTCCTACGCAGACTAAAGTATGAGGCTTCACAGCAAAAACAGAGCTGTGATTTCAGTCATACAGCTTCTCCCAATGGCCAGAGTCATAACTGTCAGCTCGGCGTTTTTGTAAAAGTCAGGTATTTTTCCCCAATACAATGATAATTTGAAATTAAATAGCAAGCTTTCTTATGTGGTATCCCGTACAATCCTAGGGTTATCTCCCTGTCCTTTGTTCTCTGCAAAAGAAAAACAATTTGCAGAATGGTCAACTTTGTATTTATGTCATAATTTGGGGGAGGGGTTGGTATTTGGTTTAGTATAACAGGAAATTCCCTGGAGAGTCTTGGTCAAGGAGTGTGGGAGGGCATGTAGGTGTGGAATGACCAGGACGCAGACGCACAGCAAATCATGCAGGTGGTCAGGTGCCTAGTTTCAAGTTTGAACAAGAAAACCTATTAACAAAATACTGTCACTATGTGAGGTGAGAAGGCACACAAGACAAAGCAGGTCAGTTTGTTAGTTTTAGGGCAGACATTTTTACTTCTGAATTATTTTAGAGATTTCCTTAGTACTTTTTTATTTTCTCCTAAATTTTTCAAATTGAACTACTACTTCTCATTTAGTTAACAAATTGTTCTAAAAGGCGCCAAATATCATCTATACTTAAGTTTAAATTCCTCGAAATTATTAACAATAAAATCAGTCTACTTCTCTTTTAACTTTAAATTTGCTAGATAAAATTTTGAACAATAAAAGAAAAGAACATTGACACCAGAAAAAAATGAAGATGATAAAATGAGATTGATTTGTGATGTACAATTTCCCCTCATTATGAACAGTGGCTCAAAAATCAGAATTTTTTTCCAAAGACATTTTTCCCCTCAAAATGTGGAGTAACATTCCCTTGAGAACATGCGAGCCAGCGTTTTCTACAAGAGACCAGGAGTTCTGTCCAATCTTACGTATATTGGTCCCAAGTTGAACTCAGCGCCTGAGATGCTCACGCGACGCCTGTCCCACCAGAAGCGAGGCCGGCAGGGTGACCCCCGAAGTCTCGACAGTCAGGTGAGGCGGAAGCTACACACTCGTTCCCAACAGGAGAACAAGCACAATAACATGTTTCACCTCAAAAACATGCCGATCACTAAAATTACACCAGATTTCCACAGTTGATTTATGGTAAAACCACATTACTCAAAACCACTCCAGTTTGAACTGCATTAAGGAATTAGCTTTCTGCTGTTGATGAATAAAGTAGGAATACGCTAGAAGTATAATAAAGATTTTGTGAAACATGCTTAATCTGCTTGAGAAAATAAATGTTGAAGATTTTTTAACCATATGGAAATTGCTCAAGCTAATTACAGATGGTTCATTTACTAAGGAGCCTCCCTAAAATTCACTTAAATGTCAGGGTCTGTACTTAATACAATTAGATAACATTTACTTTTAAACCTATAAATTAGTCTCTTTGATTCATATGGGTTTTCTTTCCCTAAAAACAACTTCAATGAGAAAATTACCATAAACATTTAATGATGATATTGCCCCTATTATGGTATGTTTAAAAAACACTAGCAGACATTAAGTTGTCATGTTATTGAATGCAAATGTTGGAATGAGTGTTTAAACTTCTGGACATGATTCATTACATATAAGATGATAAATTTCTTTGGAGATAAATTATGTGCTTAATACTACTATTTCCGCAGAAGAAAGACTCTTTAGAGTCACATTTCCTGTCAACTCATCACCACTCTAATTAAAGTTTTGTCGCAAATTCTAGGAGAAACCCAACAGTATGGTTACTGTAGTATCTACTGGGGTGCTAAGCAACAATCTTTCAAAACAGGAAATCTCATTTAAGGGTGATGAGGAAAGATCTTTAGACAGATTGAATCATGACAATGCATTCCCTGAGTCACTGTAGCTCATCCTTTGTCTAAAATAGTCCCACTTCTGCCCGGGCTGGTGGCTCAGCTGGTTGGAGTATTGTCCCAAACATCAAAAGGTTGAGGGTTCGATTCCAGTTAGGAGGAGTATGGGAGGCAACTGATCAATGTCTCTCTCTTCCCCCCTCGCTCAGCTCCTAGCCCCGCCCCTCTCTAAAATCAACAAACATATCCTCAGATGAGGATTAAAAAATAATAGTAATAATACAATCGTCCCACTTTATGCCACTCTGCTATGAAAGCTTTTGACAGTCCTCAACCCTGATTTCTCACAATTCTTTGGCCGCGTTCCCTCCACCCATCTGAGGCTCCTCTGTCAGGCACCATCCCAGGCTCGGTCCCTGACGTCTCCCAGCACCTGGGAGGTGGATGCTCACATGTCCTGCCTGCGCTGCCAAGAACCTGAGACCTGGAGGCCTGCAGTCACCGCTGAGCCCCCACGGGCTGGCGGTGCGGCCGCGCTCTCTTCTCCGTCTCTGGGAGTCGTCGGTGAGCACATCAAGGTCTCGAAGCTTCCCAGCCTGGCTCTCTCTGTGCGGTCGCAGTCCCGGCCTCTTAGTAAGCGTTAGAATGCAGGCTCCCTGGCCTGACCCAAGACGGCTCATCACGACGTCAGGGCCGCGGGGCCTGCAATCTGCCTTTTAAACAAGCACCACACACGGAAGCCTTCAGCGCCACCCAACACCGCATCCTATCTGCGCCTGGCTGCCGGGCTCGCGCCACCCACTCTCCTGCAGAACTGGAGAGCCACAGACTGGGGACTCAGGACACGCTGAGGTCATCCATGGAGGGGGGCGTGAGCTCGCCAGAGCCACCCCTAATAGCCAGGAGTGGGGCTCACAGCTGGTCTTTCCTCCACCACTGCCATTCCTGGGACACGCCCAGGAAGAAGCCTCAAATGCTGTAATTTCAGGGGGCGGGGTGGGGGCGGGGAGTCTTGCGAGCAGGGACTGGAGGGGAGAGGGGAGATGTGGCAGGGCCCTGACTTACGCACGGGTGGGTCCCGACAGGAGCTCCCGCCCACCGCCAGTCAGTGATCCCACAACACCCAGCACTGCAGGCGCTGCTGGGAACCCACAGTGTGTGCTAGGAAGTCTTCCCTCCCCAGGAAGCTGGGTGGTGGTGGAGGCGGGGCGCGGGGGTGCCGGGCAGCTCTGAAGCTGGTCAGATGACTGCTCCCCACCCTTCCCTCTGGGTTGTCAGCAGAGCCCAAGGTAAAGACCCCAGCGTGGCAGCCAGCAGCCTGGCTTCCGCCACAGACGGATGCAAGGCGACCAGGACAGGCAAAGCCTCGCCCCGCTGTGGTCTGCGTGGCACCCGAGCCCGGGCTGTGCAGGAGAGGTGATTTTGCCTTGGGGCCTGACAAGCTGCTCTTCTTTGGAACCAGGGCAGTGCTCCTGTGGTTTGGGTGGAAATGACGGTCCACCCCTCCCTACCCACCCAATCTCAAGGCTCAGCCCAGGTGACCACAACTGATTCGGCGGTGGCCACACAGCCAAACTGCTCATGTCGCAACTGTGGGGGAAGGTCCCCCTCCCTCCGCCATCATGAGCAGCACCAAGTGAGGCTAGTGGTGTCGGGGACCATCTTCCCCCCACGTGGGGAAAGCCAGCCTGAGGACAGAGGACAGAGCCCGAGAGAGGGACAGAGGGGGCCGGCGCCACCCCTCGAGTGCCTGCACCTAGCAGCACCCGAAGACCTTAAGCCAACAAGTGTCTCCCCACTTTTTAAAACCACCTTCGGCGACGTTTCTGTCACTTGTAACCTAGAGTGCTAGGTGTCTTCATTGTATGCACATGAAAAACACCATAGGAATTTCATGTATAATGTTATAAATCAATTTATAGATTTTAATACGAAAATTCATGCCTGAGATAATCATCAAAAAAAGCCATTTACAATGTTAAATAATGAAAAATCACTTTCACTAGTGTTTCATTCAAGATATTACAATCATCATAAATTCAAGTAGTTATGTTAACTGTACATACCTTTAGGGTGTCCCGTATCTTGAATAGGATATTTGTCTGACTGTAGAAACCAACAAAGAAGGAAGTTATTTTTAAACACCACAGTCAATTATAAGATCAAAGTAAAAAGAAACCTTTGTCTTGGGAAATCTTGTCATGATTTTAATTTAAAACTTTGCACGTTGTTAGCCCCAGACTTATCATTAGGGCTGGCTCACAGCTCGTTCCTATCCTCAACTTCCAGAGATGAGATCGAGGCTGACGAGGTGTTAATGCCGGAACGCGAGGCCGACTCGGCCTCCCCGACTTCCGGAGTCTGCCTGCAGTGCTGCCTTCCTGTAGCTTAAACTGAGGAGTGTTTGTTTCCCGGGATTATGGGGATGCGCCCATTTTTGTCCCACCAATTCTGGGGCATTCGTTTGGGTCAACACGCATGTGTCCTGGGCAGTCCTCCCTGTGACAGCCCTGTCCTGGGTTCACACGGTAACCGCCCCATTGGCTGCACGAAGGTCTCCGGCCTGGTCGGTCACTGGCACGGCCAGGCACAGCCCAGCGCCAAGCACTGCCCGCGGCCCAGCCCTCACAGCCATGCATTTCTTTGTTGGCGCCTACAAGCACACGGGTGTCTAATGTTCTGGAAACACTGGCTTCAGATTATTTAAGCAGCTGTTCTCTGACAACTTCCACGAGCAGGGTGAGAGTGTGCCCCGTGCCCCACGGAGCCCCTGGCCCCAGCTGAGCTCCCACCACCCTGTACCTGGGCCGCTGAATCCGGCCTAACTAAGCTGCACCTTCCAACCCACTGGTGGGCCTCGCCCAGGTCTTCCTTGGACAGACGACAAAAACAAACAAACGTGGAATGAAGGATTTTGTTTTAAATGCCTTTCGTTGGAGGTTCTTTGGAGTTGGGCAGTAAAGTTTCAGGATGTTGAGAAGCCTCCAACCCCTTTCCACAAAAGCAACCAACCAATCAATCAACCATCAATCAGAGAACTTAAAAGTCAGTTTTCCCCGAGGCTGAAGCCTTCTCGACACTCTGCTCCCCAGAAAAATACACCTTTATTTCAACACTTCCCAGGCTCTTTGTACAGCAGCTGTCTGTTTCCTTGGAGAGACGAGAGAAGAGCCCCAATTCTGACTCCACGTTAGCTAAACTCCTGCACGTCTGCATGAATGGACACACCGGCTGGGCGGGGGCAGGTTTCCTGGAGCGACTGGCATCTGAGCTAGGCCTGGGGGTTCCTGGGATGAGGAGGACCAAGGGGAAGGACGTGGTGACAGCAGGTGGTGGCACAGAGGAGCAAGGCCAGGCGGGGGGCAGAGTGGCGTGGCAGGTGTGGAAGACCAGCCAGAGGGAAGCAGCGGTGCATGTGGAGGCAGAAGCGGAAGACGGAGGTGGGTAAGACGCAAGGGGGCCTGGAAGGGAGGCAGCGGGGCTCAGGTGAGAGCTGGGCTCACCAGACGCCGCCGCCGCCTGTGCCCCGCTGTGCACACGGGGTCACGGTCGTCACAGCCGTGCATGAATTCAGACAAGCGAGCCATCTGGCACAGTGTGGTAGGAAATGAGGACTGAGTGCCTGGAGGCCCCAGGGCAAGGCAAAGAAGGCTGCGTAATCAGGGACCCCTTGGCCCGACTGGGGAGGGGGGAGGTCACAGGAGTTCAACAGCTGAGGACGCAGGGAGGGGACTGTATTACAGGTGCCCTGGGAAGATACAAGGGTGAGGGCTTATCTGAGCAGCAGCAAAGAGCTGCCACTACTGGCTCTCAGAGGCATGCTGACCTCACCGGACACGCCAAGGACTGAGATTTAATCCTAGGGACCGCAGGAATGTTACAGGTTCAACTGTGCTCCCCACTCCCCCCAAGGTGTGTTGGAGCCCTACCCCCGAGTACCTCAGAATGTGACCTCATTGGAAAATGGGTCACTGTAGATATAATTAGCTAAGATGAGGTCATACTGGAGCAGGGTGGACCCTTAACCCGATGTGACCCATGTCCTTATAAGAGGAGAGAGACACAGACACAGACAGATGGGGGAGAAGACAGCCTCACGCCAGCAAAGACAGAGAACAAGTGACGCAGCCCCAGGACACTGAGGACGGCAACAGCCACCAGAAGCTGAGGAGACAAGAAAGGATCCTCTGCTGCGAGTCTCAGAGGGAGCACAGCCCTGCAGACACCCCGACCTTGGACTTCTGCCTCCAGAACTGTGGGACAATAGGTTTCTACAGTTTAAAGCCATTCAGGCTGTGGGACCTCGTTATGGCGGCCGTAGCAAACTAATACAGGGGTGGTTCAGAAAAGGAATGTGGCAAAGTGCTTAGGGGTGACTTGAGGTGAGGAGTGGGAGGAATGGCTCGGAGGGAGGAGACCTGGGGCCACAGAAGTGAGTGGGGATCGAGGTAACCACAGGCGGGGCGGTAGGATAGGTCCTTGGACGCGACCACAGGGCACTTGCATTGTTTTTACAGGAGTGAAGATGATGGACTCTGTTCCTCCCGAATCCCGCTGGGTGTCACAGCTTAATCCCCTTCACTGTCCTCTCTCACCACGGCTGTGGGCACCAACACCACACACCTTCAAGACACCCACGGGCCTCGTGGCTCACCAGCCTGAGACACTGAATTTTATTACACCAAGTGCATTTGCTGCCATTTAACTACACTGACCAGATCCTCCAGCCACTCTGGAAAAAGGGCTGTGTCTCAAACTGCAGGCACAGGAACACGTGTCCCCCTGTCATGGCCCGACTTGGTCCTGAGCAACAGGCAGCACGCACAGCAGAGCAGGGTGGCTTCAGACAGAGCCGTCAGCTTCCACTTCCTCGTGGGTGGAACGGGGTGCAGGTACCTGCCCCACCGTCTCACAGGTGGATGGGGAGCCACGGGCGTGGAGGCCGGCGCGAGTCCCTCCAGCCTGCCTCCAGGCTGGCAGCTGACCTCGCCCCCGGGCTTCCGTTTCATCTACAAAACAGGCAGCGCCACCTCCCAGAGGCCTGTGGGGACTCGGTCACTGGAAGGTGGTCCTACTTTTTCTTCAATCTCAAGTTAGACATTTTGCAGAGCAGGTAACAGAGGCAGCGTTAAAGGGAAACACAGACAAAGACCTCGCGGATCTGAGAAGTTTGCTTCTGCCAGGTGTCAGAGCAAGAGCTGAGTGAAGCCACTTTCAGCCTGGAGAGACCCAAAGCTTACTATAGTCACAGAGATTGCAGAGATAAAGAAACTTATCTTAGGAAAATCTCATTTTGGGGTTTCTGATCTTCATGGTAATACTGAGTAATAAAAAAAATGAAAAGAAATAACAGAGGAAAAAGAAAAACAAGAGTCATCAATAACAGGGTGGAATTTGTAACCTACCACATTGAAGGGCAGAGTGCTGGGGTCTGTGTCTTCCACGGGCTCCTCCGCCATGTGACCTGCAGAAGGACAAGTACAGAGGATCTCCTTTAATGTAAAAGCTCAGATGTGTCCTTGGAGAACTGTCTTCACGCAGGCGCAAGCTACCATTGTCAGGCCTATAAAAGCAATTTCAACCGTCAGTGGGGACTAAGTAGGGGTGGGTCAGACTGCATCAGAAAGAGACTAAGACAAACTTTTATTTTTTAATCCATATTTGGAACAGTTTATTTACAAATATCTACAAATAGTCAGAGTGACCAATAACCACAAATCACGCGGATAGGACATGAGCAACTCTCTCGCATGTTGGACTTGGTTGTAACTTTGAACAGGAATGGTTTAGTTTGGACTTCTGCTTCTCCCCTATTCCTGCTCTTCAGTGATCCATCTTTATCGTATTAAAATATTAAGTATGTGAGTATAGCTCATGTGAGTCAAAAACACAGAATCTTTGTCAAACAAAAAGTTAAGGCATTTAATGAGGAAATGTAGAAAAATGGAACAGACAACCACTAGATCTTATGGATTTGTAAAATTAGAAAAAGTTCCCCCTTTCTGAAACACTTTACAAAATATCTGCCAGAAAACTATCTAAACCAATGGCTGTGTCTGTAAAACTATTTTAACAAATGACTATATTTGCTTGAGTGGGATCCTCGGGTCCCCCTGAGGGGGCAGCGTGTGGCCTGCAGGACCCGACGCCATGGCCTCAGACCGCCGAGGGGCGGCGGCCACATTCTCCCCTGTCCTCACCGAGCAGACACCGTGCACCAGGTCGCCTCTGGGGACACAAACCAGCAGAGCAGAACACCTGATTGAGACAGTGTGTGTAGGCAGAGGCATCCCGTCTCAGAGAGGCCTTCCCACAGTTCGTGACCCCGCCAAAAGAGGGCGGTGTGAAGGGGACATCCGTCTGTTTCGTGACAGCCTACAGTCCTGGGGACCGAAGAAGAACGACCCAATGAGCGGGGTGAACGGGAGGGTGTTGCCGGCGCCCTCCCACGGGGCAGGGGCAGCGGTCTGCAGCTTCATGACCAGAGCCCAGAGGCGGCAGGAGCACATGCGGGGAGGCACAGAGGGCTAACCCTGGTCCTGTGTCCCAGCCCCACCCACAGCCGTGACTCCTGTCCGGTTCGGGAACAGAGGGCCGTGGAGCTCGGGTCTCCTCAGACTCGGACGAGGAGGACGTGTTCCCACCCCGGTGCAGTGAAAACTCTAGGCCTCCCCCTCAGATTCTTATGTGACCCTAAGGAGGGGGCCAGGCCCCTGGTTCGGGCTGAAGTGGCATTCCTGTCAGCCTAGTAGAAAATAGACCCAGATTTGGATTTGAATCAACATAAAGAAAACGAGAACAAACCGTGTTATTAACTGCACCCCGAGCTCACAGAACTGCTGACGCCCGTGTAACAGGCACTTAATCACAACACGCGAGGTTTGCCCGGTGACAGAGAAACACACAGGACAAGCGCAGCCCGCCAAGCCGGCGGGCAGGGAGGCGGGGGCGGGAGCCTGCAGAGGAACTCCCACGTGGTGCCGCTGCCGCTGGCCGGGGAAGGGGCTGGCTGGGAACCGCAGGGGCAGCGGGAATGGCGCAGGCAAAGGCCTGGAGATGAGCAAGGGCTTGCGGATCGGTGTGCTTCACACAGGCCCTGCCAGCCACACCTGCAGGCGGCTCTTCCTCTCCCTGCCCCTCACCCTGTGGCTCTGGCTGGGCAGAGGGTGGGGGAGCCACCACTAAGTGGCCTCAGGCCCTTTTTCCCTCCTCCTATCACGTCCTCGCCTCCCCTGCTTCGTTCTCACTGAAGTGCACCTGGGCCACTTCACAACACTCCCCGCCAGGGCTGCGGTGCCGGAGCAGGTACGGGCAATGGAGTTTCAGGTCAGTGGCTGTGTAGCACTGGAGTGCGGGGGGCGGGGGGGCCTAAATGGCCCGACAGCACCCTGAACAGCTATGCCCACTGTGTTCATGACAAGCCAGTCCTGTTTCCTGCACACAAATTAGTATGAGAGGAAGGAAAGAGAAAGAGACACAGCAGGAAAAGGGGGGAGACGGCTGGGGAGGCAGAAGTGCACCAAAGGCAGCAGAGGGGCCGCGACAGGACAACCAACAGGAAGGCACCCTGCGCTCGGGGGGGTGCTGCGTCCTCACTGCATGCCAGAGCGCCTGCGGTCCGGTCCGGCTGAGGACAAGCCCCGCGGTGTGACCTCGGACGGCTCACAGAGCTGTTTGCAGCCTCAGGCTCTTCCTCTGACAGGCGGGGGCCCCTGCCTCTGGCGCCCGCACTCAGCTCCTGGAACCGCCGGGGGGATGACCTCCCAGTGCCCCTCGGAGCTGGCTGACCGAGCTCTAGGACAGCTCAGCGTGTCCCGGAGGGGCCTGAGCTGACAGGAAGACGCAGGTGGATGACAACAGGCTTTGGAGGCACCCAGGCTCTTGCTCTGCTCTGAAATCTCTGAGAATAAATGGAGTTGGGAGGGACACAGAATTTCGGTTTTCTATATTCTGAAGCATGACAGCAAAGCGAGAGGGCCATCGGGAAGGCACCAGGCTCAGGTAACAGGGGCTACTATTTTATTCTTTTCACTCCTGTGACTGTACCAGCCTCCGGCTGAGCGGTTCCTTGCCAAGGGCTAGTCCCAGGTGTCTGAGGCTGGTCGGGCACTAGGAAGTCCTCAAGCTTTTCCAAGAGCTCTTGGAGCTGCATGTTCACAGTATTATTAAGTATAAAATCCAACAGTCTATTTAAAAGCTTTAAAATGTTTATTGTTTCAGGCCCCAGGGAACAGGCTGAGCCCCCCACCCAGGCTGTGGGATCAGATGGGACAGGGGGCGCAGGAGACCGAAACAGCAAGCAGGCCACACGCCCTCCGCGGTGAAGACCAGCGGCGCCCGCGGGGCCACGGCCTCCTGCTGCTCCCCGCTGCCTCCCTGCAGCCTCGGGCCATGCTTTCTCCCTACGCTGTCTCCACGCCCTGGGTGGGTCGCCCTAAACAAGGGGGTCAGCAAATAAAAAAGAAAAAACCCCAAGCCGGAAGTCGGGTTCCTCCAGAAACTATCAGGTCCTGAAAAAATTGATTAATGGAGCTAAAACTCAGGGCAGGTCGGGGGCTCCCGGGGGCGGGGGTCACAAAGCACCGGGGCGGGGCGAGGGCAGCGCACCACTGGCGTACAACCACACAGACAGACACGCATACGTGTTCTTGATTAAGAAGAGCAAAAACTCCCTGGCTGCTGTGGCTCAGTGGATTGAGTGTCAGTCCATGAACCAAAGGGTCACTTGTTCAATTCCCAGTCCCACAGGCCTGGGTTGCGGGCCAGGTCCCCAGTTGGGGACACGCGAGAAGCAACCACACATTGATGTTTCCCTCTCTTTCTCCCTCCCTTCTCCTCTCTCTAAAAATAAACAAATAGAATCTTTTTTTAAAAAAAAAACCTATAAAGGTATGTTTGTATTTTAGCTTGTATATCTAACCTCTTCACGAGTGTGCCCATTTTTCATGGTGGGGTAGGGAGAGACAAGTTCTTAGTTTATATGAAAAAATAAACAAAAAAATTCTCAAAAATAAGCTACAGCAATTAAAAGCTTGATCCTAGCATAGACATAGGAAACAGAATGGAGAATCTAGAAATAGACCCAAATGTCTGTGAGAATAAAGAAAAAGTAAAGAAATAAACAAGGCACAGATCACCCCAAAGTAGCCGGCAACTAACTGACCAAGGGATCTCACTGTTGGCAGTGTGGGTGATGTTTCATTCACACGCGCACCTTCCGGGGAGCTCCTCAAAGGCACGAGGGAACCCATGGCGGCCTGATGCCCCGAAGGGGAAACCGGGCCTGGCTCTCAGAGGCCCCGGGCGACAGCGAGGCAGCGGGCTGACCGTCATTTGTGTCTCTAGGCATCGTGTCCCTCATCTGTAATGCTTGGGGGTGAACAGGTAGCCCCGCATGCCTGTCCAGCTTCAGAAGTCCATGCGTGATGAGGCCTGGCCAGGCAGCTGGTTGGTTAGTGTCGTCCCCCTAGGCCAAGGCTGTGTGTCGAATCTCCAATCAGGGCACCCACAAGCAGCAGCCAATGATGCATACGTAAGTGGAACCACAAATCAGCGTTTCTCCCTCAATCGCTCTCTCAAATAATTTTTTTTTTAAAGTCCATGAGTGCCGATGGTGAGCAGCCGTGGCCCAGTAGGTTAGAAGGCACCTCAGGCTGAAGGTCACTATGAGGCAGGAAGGCCCGTTCACAGCACTTGCTCACCAGCCCACGAGTATGTCCACATGCCTCATCAACAACAAGCAGAGCTCCCGCTCGCCTGGCCCACCCGTGCCGCGTGGTTTGCGCACGGTCTCGGTTCATCCTTAGGGTAACCCTGAGAAAAGCACAAGTGTCCCCCTTTTTACATATTGAGCCCCAAGGTCACAGGGCAGTGGAAGAGCTAGAATTTGGATCTGAGACTTTCTCCCTGTTTCCCACTACCTTCAGGGTGCACGCGCAGACCACCTGACAGACTCTCGGGCGGAGAACCCCTGTCCACGTTTCCCTTTCGTTAGGGCGCCAGTCCCACTGGGCTAGAGCCTCCTCTCACGGCCTAGTTTTAGCTTGGTTAATTCTGTAAAGACTCTATTTCTAAATAAGTTCATGTTCTAAGGCATTGGGGGTTAGGATGCCCACAAAATTAGGGGGAGCCATGTAGTTCAACCTGTAACAGTCCACTCTCTGGCCCCCCAAATTCATGTCCTTCCCATGTATAAAATACATTCAACATCTCCCCAAGTCATTCCAGCATCAGCCCTAAATCCGCAATGTCACCTACTCACCATCCACTCAAGGACCCAGATCCCATCACCCACAGGATCAGAATCTCTCAGGAGCTTCAGGTACCGCACGGTGCACCCCGCGGCCTCCCCAGGAGGGGGACAGTCACAGGTTGCCCAGCAGCCACGCTGTCACATCCTGACATCTACCTTTATTAGTGACATTAGATAAAGGCCAATAGTTCCTCGAGACACTTGCTTTAAGG